GCGCGTGCGCGCGTGCGCGCGTGCGCGCGTGTGCGCGCGTGCGCGTGTGCGCGTGCGCGCGTGTGCGCGCGTGCGCGTGCGCGCGCGTGCGCGTGTGCTTGTGCGCGCGCGTGTGCTTGTGCGTGTGCGTGTGCGTGTGCGTGTGCGTGTGCGCGTGCGTGTGCGTGTGCGTGCGCGTGCGCGTGTGCGTGTGCGTGTGGGTGTGTGGGTGTGCGGGTGTGTGGGTGTGTGGGTGTGTGGGTGTGTGGGTGTGTGGGTGTGTGGGTGTGTGGGTGTGTGGGTGTGTGGGTGTGTGGGTGTGTGGGTGTGTGGGTGCGTGGGTGCGTGGGTGGGCGTGGGTGCGTGGGTGTGTGTGTGTGTATGTGCGCGTGTGTGCGCGGGTCCCTCGACTGCCCAAGACGGCCCCATGACGGCCCAAAGAGACCCCCTAGACCGCAAAGGTGGCCCCAAGACGGCACAAGAGAGGCCACAGACGGCCAAAAAGGCCCGAAATCGGCTCAAAAGGGCCCCGGCTCCCGATGCTGCCCCACAGGAGTCCAAGGCAGCCCAAATGAGCTCTGCAAGAGCTCCTGTAGGCTGTCGGCGCTGAAAGCTGCACCGCCCAACGGGCTTATCTGGCACGGTGGCGGGACTCGCCGCAAGCAACTGCATAATGTCTCAACGGACGGTCTCCCTCCTCCCTCCCTCCTCCTCCTCCCTCGGGCCTCCTCTCTCCTCTGTCCTGACTCAACAGTAATCCTTCTTGCCTCCTCCTCCTTTTCCTTTTCCTCCTCCTGCTCCTCCTCCTCCTCCTCCTCCGCCTCCACTCGTTTCCTCCCTTCCTCTCTCCCTTCCTCCTCCTGCTCCTCCTCCTCACCCTCCTCCGTCTCCAGCCTGCTCCCTCAGTATTCCTTCTCCTCCTCCTCAGTCTCCAGCCTTCTCCCTCCTGAGCAGTCCTCCTCTTCCTCCTCATCCTCCTTCTCCTCCTCCATCCTCCTCCTCCTCCTCCTCGTCCACCTCTTCCTCTTCCTCCGTCTCCCAATCCTCACCCTTCCCCTCCTCTGTCTCAACCTGATCCTCCACCTCCTCTTGTTCCCCCTCGCCTACTCAATATCGTCTCCTCATTATTCTTCTTATTCTTATTATTTTTCTTCTTCTTCTTCGTATTAGTATTAGTGCTGTTCGTCTTATTCTTCTTAGTGGCATTACTTTTACTATGCGTTATTCGTACTCTTATGCTTTCATTATTACTATTCGTCCTCGTATTTCCACCTCCTCCTCCTCCTCCTCGTCCTCCTCCTCCTCCTCCTCCCTGTCGCCTCTTCCTCTTCCTCCTACTCCTTTTCCGAATCCTTATCCTCTCTTCCTCCTCCCCTTCCACCCTCCCTCCCTCCCTCCTTCCCGTCCTCCTCCTCTTCCTCCTCCTCCTCTTCTTCCTCCTCCTCCTCCCCCTGCCTCTTCATCCTCTTCCTCCTCCGTCTCCAGCCTTCGCCCTCCTCATTCTGTCTCCCGATCCTCCGTCTTCAGCCTTCTCCCTCCCCCTTTCTCCTGCTCCTCCTCCTATTCCTCCTCCTCCTCCTCCTCCTCCTCCTAGTGGGCAAGGTTTCCTCGGATGGCTCGGCCCTGAAACCAGAGAGCAAAGCTTTTGAAACGGCTGGCTGGGCAGTGGTAAAGACCAATGCCGAAGGCGAAGTGATCGCCGCTCTGACTGGCCAAGTCGGCCGACTCCTTCCCCAATCCTCCCCTGCTGCTGAGCGCTGTGCCGGGCTTGCTGCCCTCACCTCCTCCCCCAACATCACAGAAATATCTGTCGACTATCAGGGCATAATCGACCTTTATGCCACTGGCTTCTCGCGACGCAACAGATCTGCTGGAATCGGGCTGCTCGCGCGAGGAGCCATCGGCTGGCACGCCGACCTCAGATTTTCCAAGACCAAGGCGCATCAAAGTTTAGATGCCCACCCTGCTGGCTCGACAGAATGGGCCGACACTCTGGGCAACCACGGGGCCGATCGTTTTGCGGGGATCGCGTCTCGTGCTTTCAATCGGCCCTCCGAGGCCGAGATTGAGGAGCATGCGACCCAGTGCAAGTTGCTCAGTGAATAGTTGAGATATGTCACCAGAGCCCTGCAGGAATGGCCGCCTATCGAGCTCTGTACTACCCAGAAGGCTTACAAGAAGCCAGTCAAGTCACTGTCCCCACCAGTCGGCGCGGCTTCTATTCAGGAGGTTTGGAAGCCGCCCCACCCTCCGCCCTCTCCGCCTCCTCCCGCGCCCCCCCGTCCCGCCCAGCCTCGTGGGGTGTCGCGGGGGCACAGGTGGGAGGTCTCAGGGAAGCGTTTCTTGTAAATTGACTGCCGCGTCAGAGCGGCAACTAAGAAGCCTGGCACCTGTCCAGGCTACTCTCAGGCGTTTGCTGTTTTGTGCAGTAGCCCGCAAGGGCATGCGCTGTTCATTTGCGAGCAGCACAGAGGTGGCTCGTTCATTGTCGTGTGTCGTCGGTGTGGGAAGTTTGCCGAATCGAATGTGCGGTCCCTCAATGCTGAGGGTGCTGATAGGTACGTCAGACCAGGCGACCGCACCCAATGGAACCTCATGCTAGAAGGCAGGAATCCGAGAGGCTCCAGGAATTCGCCCATCGAGTTCGAGCGGCCGATGCCGCTCCACCAGTACCGCCAGCGCCAGGCCCAAGAGATGGCCGAGATGGAGGAGACTGCCACCGCGCTCACCCCAGGCCAACCGAGCGGGGGGGAGAGAGCGCAGCAGCAGCAGCAGCAGCAGCAGCAACAGATCTACTAACAGTCGAACCCCTTTCCATTTGTGCGACGGTCCGCCTCCTGCTCCTCTTCCTCCTCCTCCTCCTCCTCCTCCGCCTCCTCCTCCCCCTCGTCTCCTCACTCTCGCATCCCGTTTTCCTTCTCCTCGTCTTCCTCCTCCGCCTCCTCCTCCTCACCGCTTCCTCCTCCTCCTCCTCCTCCGCCTCCTCCTCCTCCTCCTCCTCCTCCTCCAAATCATCATCATCATCATCATCATCACCATCATCATCA